TACTAACACGGTAAAAGGGTTTGCGTGAATAGGCTTTGGTTTCTGAGAAAATTGCAAGTAAAGTTGGTCGTCCGATCAACTGTGCGGTAAGTACCCGAACCGTGAATTGGTAAGCAGGAAAACGGCGTAGCAGAACAGACTGAGGCGCACGGTGTTCTTTTTCTTCGCGGGCGACGAGAGTTCGATGCGAGTTCGCGTCCCCACAGTGTCAAATTTTTTTTTATCCAAACGTTATATTTTCTAATTAATTATATTTTAATTAATTTATCTTTTTCTTATAAACAAAAATACTAATCATTGCGCAATTTTTGTTATAAATAATAAATAACAAGTGTTTTAAAAAATTTTCATTATTTATTATAAAATTGTGTGCGTGCGTGCGTGCGTGCGTGCGTGCGTGCGTGCGTGCGTGCGTGCGTGCGTGTGTGTCATTGCCATACAATTATTTATTATAAAATGTTGACATTGCCGTATAATTTTGGATAAAAATTAATTTATAAACATTGAGAATGGTCGGTAAGAATAATAATAAAATGTTAACACTTATTTATATACTGTCTAGAATGTCGATAAGACCTTTTCTTTGTGTTTTTGTTCGAGAAGATTCTAACAAGTATCTGCGCATGCTACTTATGCATGTGTAGTACTTATGTTTTAAATGTTTCTACATTGATTTTCATCCACAAAATTGTACGGCAATGTCAACATTTTATAATAAATAATTGTATGGCAATGTCACACACACACACACACACACACACACACACACACACACACACACACACACACACACACGCACACGCACACGCACACGCACACACGCGCGCGACACACACACACACACACACACACACACACACACACACGCGCGCGCACACAAACACACACGAACACACAATACACATACGTACGCATGCATATATATATATATATATACGCACAAGGTGTTCCAGACCTACTGCAGGAGATCGGCAAGGTTCGCAGATTCTATCACCTGTAGATTCTTGAAGTCATTTAGAAAGAAAAATTTTTATATCAAAATATCAATGTTAAAACTACAATAGTTTTTAAATGAGAAACGTTTGAAGATAATTAATAAAGATTAATTATTCAAAATTTGTGCGTTCAGATTTATTGCATAGTGAAGGTACCTCTAGATATTATATAAGTGTTAATATTTAAATATGTATATTAATATAATTTTGCGTACACTTTTGAATTTATCACATGTCTTCATAATTTTTCTTATTTAATTAACTGGCATGTTAAAAATAAAATTGTATTAAAATGTCTCAATGGTATTAGAATTTTCGTCTCTAAATGATTTCAAGAAGCTGTCATTAGGTAAATGCGGTAAATCTGGGACAACTAGTACTTATATACATACGTGAACAAAATTAATGATTGAACTTTATAATTCGTGGATAATTCAAAAAATTACAACGCTCTTTTTGTCTATGAGTTTCATATGAATGCGGTTTCATCGGAATGTAAAAAAATTGAGAGTGATTCGCTGTGATTCTTTTTGTCCACAGTATCAAATATAAATTTATTGGTAAATATAAATATATGGTGTCTTGAATAATTATTATTTACTATAGCATAAAAATAGAAACGATCGACTTTACACAGTTTCCATGTAAATTTTTGCCTTTCTTTTGCGTTTTTACACAGAGAATTTATTATTTTTGCAAGGGAAAGGGAGATTTCGACGTGCATTGTGCACTTCTCATAAACAATATCTTCGTGTTATTTACACTTTTTAGACTTAACTATAATATTTTTCGATTTTCTTTTCTGATGCCCGAATATATTTATCTCGTTTTAAGTGCAAAAACTTTTGGATATTTTTTACAAAACGAAATCTATAATATAGACGATATAGACAAATCAATCATGTCGCGCGACTTGTAAGTCCTAACCGGTGCACGTATGCGTGCGTGACATACATACTGTGTGCACGCGCGCGCGCGCGCGCGTGAGAGAGAGAGAGAGAGAGAGAGAGAGAGAGAGAGAGCGCAACTAATTTTTTCTTCTGTAATAACAGACAGAATAACATTCTGAGGGAGATGAGAAAATTATGTATTTTCTCTCTCGTATGCGCTGGCCACCAGCAAACCATTACTAGATATATATGCTATGGTATGTTCGACCAATTTAGACTTGCATGTGACTACAGCAATTGTCTCTCGGTGAAACCTAACCTCTTTTTTTTATACGTTTTGCGATGAGGACAGAGATATCCTGCATTACTGCAATATGCGACAATTTTTACACAGTCTCGTGATTCCTTTGGAAAGACTTACCGACGATTGGCCGATCGTTCAACTCTCCTCCGATTTTCACGGTTGTAAAGGCAAACGCCGTAAATAGAATCGTCCACAGAGCATTCATTATGAAATATATATAATATATAAAATCGTAGTTTTAAATTCTCCCTAATGACACGGTGATAAGAAAAAGAGAGCGTGTGCGCTCTTGCCGTTCTTATATAGTTAAATAACCACAATATTACGTATCAACCGTTTACAATTATCGCGTTATCGGCTGTACGTTATGTTATATATCGTGTACATTATCATATAGCGCAAACTGGCATAGACTATACATCCATCTAAGCTCGTTGACATAATCTTAACCGGAAAAACTGCAGGCCGTGTCACTCGTGTGATGCAATTCATGCAATATAGTGCATTATATATATGTTGTATTGACGTTCGCGTTAACTCTCTCGATTGAACATTATTTTGAAGAATTAGCGCAATGAGTATTTAAATTTGATAATTAGTGGCTTTGCGACGAGTTTTTTTTAAGGCAGTCCGAAATATGTTCAATTTTACGATAAGATATTTATTAGATATCAGAAGATATATATACATATATACTTGAAACAAAATGCAGGACCAAATGTATTCATAACGAGGTTTTGCAATTATCGCTGATTATCTGAATCTGAACAATCATTGATACTGGTTTCTAAAATAAACAACCGATAAGCTATAAGTTTATCATATGTAAAGTGAACGAATTTTTTAAAATCTTAAAATTTGTATGAAAATGAATAAAAGTTAAAAAAATTTTATCTAAAAAAATTATTATAATTTAGTTCTAATTAGTGGTGATTTGTATAACTATTGCACGGTGAGGGGTAAAAGTTTCGGAACAGCTAATTATTTTAAAAAGTGTTGATTTAGAACATCTGAATCATAGAAAACTGTTTCAAACAAAAATTGTAATGTTTAGGAAAATCTATTAGCTGGTGATATTTATTTGAGCTTTAATTAGTTTACCAAGCACAGTTAAGATGAACATAAAAATCTCAAATGGAAACCCCTATTAATTTTCATTGTATATTCTTGTATCTGACGTCGAAAGCTTTTTAAAACACTTTGATGATCATTTTTCATTAAATATTTTTATCAGTATTTTTTTAGTAAGTACTTTACGAGTTATAAGAAAGTTATGTTCCGTAATCACACTTTTGGCGCTTACTGCGTTCACAGAATCATTTTATCCTTATTATTTATTAAATGTTAAACAAGGATAAATCGTACTCACAGCGTGTAAACGTTATATATAAAAAATTATAAAAGTTTAAATTTTGTTGTGGGGTTATATAATATCACATTCCATTTAGTTCACCGAGGGTTAAGTGTTATTTTCTTATCGTATACCATGGTATTATACGAAATACTGTCATGTACAAGATACTATATAAATATTCTGAAAAATTTTAATTTTTTATTTCATAAAAAAGAATGCAAGGGATAAGTAGAGTGGTTACGCCAGTGCCATTAAAAAATTGTAGGTACATTTTTAAAGCGCTTAAAGGAGATTGATATGATAACCAGCACCAGACGCAATCAAAATAGACCGATGGTCAATTATAATACGTAAAAGATTTTCTCGAATCATAACGAATTCGAACGGTATACTTTAACGAGAGTTGAACAAATAACTACTGCATAAAGTTTTATCAATCAAAATTGCACATTATAACAAATTTGCACTAAATATAATTCATAAATGTGTGATTATTGAATTTGTTATTAATAATTTTCATTAAAGCTAATGTTGAATTTTAACTTTTTACATCTGGATGTAAGTAGTACGTGAATATATAAAATTTTATATCGTGTACACCCACGGTAATCGATTCTGTAGTCCCACGGAAATTTTTCTTACAAGGAAAGGGACCCAAGTGTCCGCCTCCGATTTCGATGAGCTTTTGATATGTTATTCTCTAGACAAAACAAAAAATTAAGCTACCGCAAATTCGTGCTGCTTCGCGCTTTTAAGGGGTGAAACACCCCTTAGAAAAAAATCGGTTTTTTTATTTCAATGCAAATATCGTCCAAACTAGGAGAGATAGAAAAAAATGTTCCGAATAAAAGTTGAATGGCTTTAAGAGTACTTTATGATTATAATTAAAAATAATTTTTTATTGCTTAATTTTTGTTTATCCCCCCAACAACATTTGTTTTAAATTTTTTGAATTTTTTTTACCAAATTAAAGGTTATTTTAATACAAATTCAACCATGTGTGACAAAGTTGTTTTCCGAAGTATCATTTTGGAGAAATAATTATAAACGCCTCTATACGCACACCATCCGTGCTCGTTTACGCGGCGCGCACGCCGCAATTCTTCACGCAGCACGTTCTACTCGCATTTTTGCATTTAACAAGGGATAACGATGAAAGCAAATCTATTTCCGCAATATTCTGCGGATGTAAAACTATAAATCGTTTTTATCGCGCACGGCTGAACAATGCTTACGAAGCATTTGAGTGTCATATAAGTGTCAAGTTAAATCGATATAAACAAATCTATTGCGGAAACAGTCTGTTTACGTCTAATCACAGAAATATTTTTGTTTGAGTAGTTACCCTG